CTGCGCCAGGTCGGCGCTGGCCGCCGCCTAGCTCCCGCGGCGCCTGCGGGCGCCGGGGGGGAGGCGGACGCCTACGCCGCGCCGCACCGCCACTTCGGGGACTTCGCGTGCCATCCTCCCGCCTCGCCGCCGGAGAAACACGGCAAGTTCTTGGAGGCCTTCGGCCAGGAGCATAAGGCCGGACTTGGAAGCGCCAAGGCCCCCTTCTACCACCAAAGTAAGTTGCTATTACTCTGTCGGATTCCTTTTTTCTCCTTCCGCCCCCAAATTATCGTCGCAATGCCCTTGAAATTACGCGCAGAAGCTTGTTTTTTTTTTCAGACTATGAGTTTACCAGCTGAGTGAGATAAGATCTGTTTTGAAAAGCTCGTAGCAGCAGACATGTGGAAGTAGAACGCAAGTCTTCCATTCCGAAGCAATCGTAGGCCGGCTCTGAACAGCGGACTTATTTTGGATTCGGAGCATAAAGTGAAGGGGAACAACAACCTGCATGTACTAGTCAATAAAAGTCCTCCCCACACCCCCAAAAAATGAGAAAGGCCACCAAATGACCCTTTTGCCCTTTTCTGCTGTCTCGGTCAGGTACAAACTGAGTACTGAGTACTCGCTGAAAAGTCCAGTCATTGAATGGAAATGACTCTTGCCGTAAAATGACAAATTTCATTTCTCGTGTCCGCAGAGTTGACAAACTGAGGAAAACGTGTGCAAGTGTCAAATCAACTCATGAATCGAAATTGTTGACACCTTCAAATGAGACATTTCACTCATGTCTCGATTGAAAACAAAAATCTCGGGATGTTATCGCTTATTTTCTAAATTACTGTTCGTGCTTTCCACATGCCACAGAATCAGTCATGCAGTGTCCCATTGGCTCGAAGTATCTGCGTGTGCGTTGATAAAAGTCATCAAGTTTATGTTAAGCGTAGCTACAATTCGCGACATTTCGTCCGATTTGCCTGCGCGCTGAGGAAATTGTGTTCTCTGGCGTCGCTGTTTGTCCCGCTCAGGTCACACGAGCCGACAACAACATCAGCGTCATTCAATTTTATTTTGGATTCGGAGCATAAAGTGAAGGGGAACAACAACCTGCATGTACTAGTCAATAAAAGTCCTCCCCACACCCCCAAAAAATGAGAAAGGCCACCAAATGACCCTTTTGCCCTTTTCTGCTGTCTCGGTCAGGTACAAACTGAGTACTGAGTACTCACTGAAAAGTCCAGTCATTGAATCGAAATGACTCTTGACGTAAAATGACAAATTTCATTTCTCGTGTCCGCAGAGTCGACAAACTGAGGAAAACGTGTGCAAGTGTCAAATCAACTCATGAATCGAAATTGTTGACACCTTCAAATGAGACATTTCACTCATGTCTCGATTGAAAACAAAAATCTCGGGATGTTATGCTTATTTTCTAAATTACTGTTCGTGCTTTCCACATGCCACAGAATCAGTCATGCAGTGTCCCATTGGCTCGAAGTATCTGCGTGTGCGTTGATAAAAGTCATCAAGTTTATGTTAAGCGTAGCTACAATTCGCGACATTTCGTCCGATTTGCCTGCGCGCTGAGGAAATTGTGTTCTCTGGCGTCGCTGTTTGTCCCGCTCAGGTCACACGAGCCGACAACAACATCAGCGTCATTCAATTGGCTGACAACGCAAGCCCGTCAAAGCATTCCGTTCACAAAACCGCCTCCTTTATCACCGGCTTTTAAGAGGACATCATTTATCCAGTCATTTATTCCCGTTGGAAACTTTTGACCCGAGGTATGTGCTCCTCACCTGTCCAAGAGTTTGCCAAGGTCGTCTTGTCTCAGCTGTACATGACGATGACCCCAGACCCTCCCCCCCCCTGCCGTAAAATGACAAATTTCATTTCTCGTGTCCGCAGAGTTGACAAACTGAGGAAAACGTGTGCAAGTGTCAAATCAACTCATGAATCGAAATTGTGGACACCTTCAAATGAGACATTTCACTCATGTCTCGATTGAAAACAAAAATCTCGGGATGTTATCGCTTATTTTCTAAATTACTGTTCGTGCTTTCCACATGCCACAGAATCAGTCACGCAGTGTCCCACTGGCTCGAAGTATCTGCATGCGTATTGATAAAAGTCATCATGTTTATGTTAAACGTCGCTACAATTTGCGACATTTCGTCCGATTTGCCTGCGCGCTGAGGAAATTGTGTTCTCTGGCGTCGCTGTTTGTCCCGCTCAGGTCACACGAGCCGACAACAACATCAGCGTCATTCAATTGGCTGACAACGCAAGCCCGTCAAAGCATTCCTTTCTTAAAACCGCCTCCTTTATTTTATCCAGTCAATTATTCCCGTTGGAAACTTTTGACCCGAGGTATGTGCTCCTCACCTGTCCGAGAGTTTGCCAAGGTCGCCTTGTCTCAGCTGTACATGACGATGACCCCAGACCCTCCCCCCCCCCAGACCCCCAAGGAAAACAACAACATGCCAACAATTGATTCAAAGCAGGAACCCGATTTTTGTTGAAAAAGAAAATACCGGATGCGATTTTATTTTCACGTGGCGTCACGTCGCCCAGACTTATAATTGACGCCGCCACATTCGGTTCCAGCCTGTTTTGACAAGAGTTCATTTGGTCTTCCTGTTTGGTCTGCTCTTAGATTATTATCTTGAATCACGATAAAAATGTGCTTTTTTTTGTTTTGTTTAATTAACTCGATTTTTATACAATTCTTCACCAGGAAAGAGCAGCATGTGAGAACTAACAACGATATATTTTTTTAAACTGGATACAACGAGAAAGAAAACATCAACGTAAATAATAAGAACGATGTTTTTTCAGGAGCGTCTCAAGTTTTGACCCGTTTTCACCGCGTGTCTCGTGTACTTTTTCTCGACGGTGTTTCACATCACCGCATGTCAAATGAGAAGCGATGCATTGAGAGCAGAAGGGCTGTGCTACACGTTGCCGGAGACGTGGTCGGCGCAATTTAAAAAAAAAAAAGACCTTTCACGATGACCTTGGAGGTTTGGTTCAGATTTCTCCAGTTATTGTTTTCACTGTTGCCTAGCTCCATGTTTTGGGGGGGGGGGGGGCTCAGGGCCTCAGCGGAAAGGGGGAATGTTTATGTCGTGAAGCGCAACATCGGGTCGCAAATGAAGGCTGCGACCAAATTGAACGAAGAGACGAGGTCGGCCTGGAGACGAGAGGCAGACGGCGTTTGTTTTTTGCGGCTCCGGGAAATGCGTTTGGACGACGGTTTCATGGAGCAAATAACACGGCGCAAAGTGGACAGAATTGTGCTATCGCAAGATTTGTTTGACCTTCAAATTCAAAAAGAAATCGATTTCCTCTTTTTGCTGATAGAAAAAGCAAAAGGGCAATTGTGTCACTCAAAACAAGTTTTGCTTATGTGTTTTTGTTCCCCGTCTTTGTTCTTTGTATGTCATTGCTTTTCTTTTCCCAGCATTCCCAAAAACTCGCATGAATTTCCACAGAAATAATGGATTGCAAAAGAAAAAAACAAAACGGCCCTTTTCTCTCGATCATTCTGAAATGAGCCGTGAAATTTCACATCCTGCAAATCTCTTACGCCCTTTTTTTTCTCACGTTGGGTTGGACAGGTGAAGCCATTGCTCAAATATTTCCACTGCGTAAACAACGCTGGCAGCCATTTTGCTCACATCGCCTCTTCCTCAAGAGGAATCAAAGTCACAGTTTTCGAATAATTGCCTCTGGAGACGTCGGAAAAGTCACTCATTTGGCAACTCTGACGTCAGCAGGGATGTGCTCAGAACCATGAAAGCTACAAAAATATATATATTTTTTTAAATAGACAGAAAAAGAACAAAAAAAAAAATGTCAAGGGCAAAATAAACTCTCATCAGTCAAATTGATGAATTGTCCAAAGCGGCGGATGCAACTGTTGCCGTTGCCACGGGAGCAGATAGCCGGGCTTCTTGCGCCGATGCAACGGGACCAGACTTGACACTTAGTCCGCATATTTGGGAATAAATTGGCTTGAGATCATACTGTATTTTACGGCTCGTACTTCTGAGACATTTTTGTTTGACGGTGTGCAGTGAGATTTTGTTTTTTCCATTTAAAACGTGTGCCTTGACTCCATTAGGTTGGCAAACTTTTGCGTGGAAAGGGGCAGGCAGATGACATGTTTACATTCCACAAACTAATATGAGCCCAATTTTAATCGTAGTGGCTATTATAATTATTATTATTATTATTATTCAAGTGATGGTGTTGATAATATATAACAAAATAAAAAGGTGAACAAATGTTCCAAAAAAAAAAAAACAATGAAACACACACACACACACACACACACACACACACACACACAATCACACATTCACACACAGAAGCTGGTGCCCCCCCCCCACTTTTGATAT